CCAGTGGTGTCTGGGAGGTCCACGGAGCGATGGTAGTTGGCCCCGAGCCAGAACAGCTGATTGAGGACGGTGTCCTCTAATGCCGTCACCTCCGCGAGGTTGCAGAACTCCCCGGCGTACCCATAGAAGGGGAGATCGAGGCGAGCTAGGGCGGCGACGTGAGCGGCAATTTCCATAGCCGTGGGGGGGGGAAACCAGGAAACAAAAAACTTTCAAAAAGGCAGGAAAAACAAAAACGAGGAGAAGGGGCGCTGCTTACTCTTGTTTCGGTCCGGTATTCTGTCACGGGTGCACTGCTGAGCAGAGTCAGGAGCAAGGAACGGAGAGAGACGAGGAGTACATCAATCCAACTGGGTTTTAATCCAAATGGGTTTAATTAATACAAAGGAACACTCATGCAATACATGTGGACATAGACACATACAATACCGGACCAAAGTCTGACAGCAGCAGCCTGATCACAACATATAGCTATACAGAATAGTTCAAAACAACAGGGAGAAATAGATGAAGAAACACATTAAGAAAAACACAGAGATACACTCCCCACACACAACAGGAGAAAACTAGACCAGCCAAAATGCTTTACATTTCTTGAAACAATCATTTCTGAAAATTAAACATTGACTGTCAGTCTTTATTCACCCATTTCTCATGGTTTCTCATTAAAAAAATCATAGTGTAAATTACATTGTTAATGTCATAGAATAGCATAGTTTAATAATACACACATTTTAACGCAGCGTTACAACATTTGTCTCATTTTAAATGAGCACTAAAAACTGAGATGAAAATTTACTTAAGCCAGAAATGAACTTTTTCAATGGTAAAATAAATGTTCAGCGATATATTCAAAAGATTTTTGAATTTTGGCAAACTTTTTTCTCTATATAATGTTTATATGGCAACCAGTAAATTCTGTAAATTTTGTTATGCTAGCATGTGTGCAAATATTTAAACCATGTGTTACAACTAACCCCGTGTTGCAAGAGCTGTAGAGTTCACCATCACCCTTTTGAAAAAAACTAAATTCAAACAATGAAGACACATCACTCCTGGTTTGATAGTCCAACTATTTACTATGTTGCAGACACTATTATCCACTTGAATATGAGAATTAATAAATATGAGTACAATAATCAAGTACAGGACGTAAAAACCTTTCACGACAGACCTACTGTGAGCTCAGTAGAAACTACATTAAAGAAAAACATTATTTTTATAGATGCCCCCCTTAATCGGTACTGTTACCCTTAAGGTGTGCACTCTACAGTACAGGTTGAAAACCCCAGCTCTATTCAAGCATATGCAATAAATCCAGTCCAAGTCGTGAGTCCTAGAGTAGTGCAATGTTGGTTCTTTGACGGTTAAGGAATAATTGTATATTTTCTGTTTGGACTTCTGTTAACAATTTTGAACCATTTATGTTACATGATCTCTATGAATGAGTTTTAAGGACTGTACTATATTCCACATAAAAAAAACTAAGTTCTTGTTTTTATTTTATTTGTATCATACACAGCATCAAGGCCAGTCACGTTTTTTCAATTATGGGATGGACATTTTGAACATGGTGTTCACGGGTGTCTTTGCAGTCGAAATGATTCTCAAACTGGTTGCCTTCAAACCAAAGGTACGTCTTTCTTTTGTCTGGCTATGATGCAGTGATGTCAGAGCGCTTGTGCCCCTGTCCCGTGATGTTTAACCCTTCTGCTCTCCTGTCCTCCCCGCCGCTGTCTGTCTGATTAGGGTTATTGTGTGGACCCCTGGAATGGGTTTGATGCTCTGGTGGTGATTGGCAGCGTAGTAGACATCATTCTGAGTCAGGTAGACCCCCGACTTTCCTCTCGTCTGTCTGACCCTCACTCTTCATCTTTTTCTCACCTCTGCTAGTTGGCGCTGTCTGATTTTGTGTTTCTCGTCCTTTAGCATGCTGTGTTTATGGATGTATCTGACACTTACTTCAGGGGGAATATGCTTTCAGGTCTCGTTTATACCCAGAGAAAACTGTGGTTGCAGAATTTAAGCGACAGCAAAATGCTAAAACATTTCAGAAGATATCATATGTGATTATATAGATACTGCGGGTAAAATAAGTAATGAACATGTCACCATTTTTCTCAGTAAATATATTTCTAAAGATGCTGTTGACATGAAATGTTCACCAGATGTTGGTAAAAGCCCAAGTAATCCATACATACAAAGAAAACAATACAAACAAGTTCAGAAATTAAGTTATGTGGAATAAAATTAAATTTGACATGGACATGTTATTATGAGATTCATCATATCAAAACTTGCCTGTTATAAATAAATACCCAGACTGCCTAGCTGTTGTTATTGTAGGATGTGTCTCAATCTGCTCCCTAGTTACAGTGCACTGGTTAGGTAGTAGGCCATCAGGAATGTCCCATTGTCAAAAATAACACAATGCCCCACAAAAAATCTCAACTCAGCTTGATAGAAATGGAGGATGAGCACATGATGACCTTTCATGACTTTTATAACAGCTGTGGTACAACAAAGATGCACGATAAACAAAACAAGTCCAAATGTTTAGTGGTTTAAGACCCTTTGTAGTGTCAGAATTCGTAAATGGTCACGATATGCAGAGTAATGTAACGGGGAAATAGGGAGTGGAAAGAGACACAACAACAGTGTGTCGCTCTTTCTGTGTATGACTGCAGCATCATAACTGTGACTTTCTTCTGTCTTTTTCTTCCCACTTTCTGTTTCTTTGTCAATTCATCTCTTTCTTCCAATCCTCCTTTCCTCTCTCATCTCTCTGTTTCGCTGGGTGTCCGCAGCACTATTTTGCCGATGCATGGAACACGTTTGATGCCTTAATTGTTGTTGGTAGCATCGTTGACATTGCGATCACGGAGATCAATGTAAGTAAAAGCATGATCCATGCCCAGCATCTCTGTCTGTTTTTGTTCAAATATTAAAGGTGAAGCTTATGTGGGTCATTTTCAGGAAAGATGCCATTTGTTTCCACATCTTACTGCTGATACAAACTTGACTCAATGAACTCTGTTTAGTGAGCAATCTTTTTAAATACAATGTTTGTTCTTCAGCTAAATATCAGCCAGCTTCCAGTTTTAATAGGTTAAATAAAAAAACATTTCGGCCCATTTTTTGGCCTTTTCCCCATTATTTCGGTAGGACAGTGCAAAGGTAGACAGGGAGCATTAGAGGAGGAGCATGAGGAGCACTCGGGTCTGCTAAAGCGCTACTGCGCTGTATGTTTGAGCGCTTTCCCACAAGGCTGTGATGGTCTGTCTCTGTGATTTTTGTTCATCCATCTGTCACTTGAGGATTGAAATTCGATAATTTTGAACACCTGATCAGTCCAGATACACTACATAGACAAAAGTATAGGGACACCCCTTCTAATGAACAGGCTTGACTACTTTAGTCATTTCCATAAGTACAAATCTTAATGTTTAAGCAGATAATGATATTCTAGGGAATTGTGTGCTTCTAATTTTATAGCAACAGCTTGGACAGGAGTCTTTTCTATTCTAACACAATGCCTCTGTGTATAAGGCAAGGTTCAAAAAGAAATGATTGAATGAGTCGGTGTGGAAGAACTTGACTGGTCTGAAGAAACCTCTGATGTGACTTTAAATGCAGACCTTGAGCCAAAAACTCATCGCCAAACACCAATGACTTGTACATACACTATACGGGCAAATTTATTGGGACACCCCCTTCTTTAAAACGGAAAAAGGCACTTCCAAAACTGTGGCAACAAAGATGGAATCATAATGCATGTAATTAAAAACTGTATTTCCATCTCTGTTGCAACAGTTTTGGAAGTGTCTAAAATGACTGTACCCATATGTACAAATCATTGGTGTTTGGTGATTTTGGTGTTTTTGGCGCAAGGTCTGCATTTAAAGTCACAGTGTTTATGGCAGTGACAACCATAGTCCTTTCAGTGGCGGCTCGTGGGTTTTAAAATAGAGGAGGCACACTAATTGTATTGGTCTGGGATCCCCGCTGATTATTATTATTATATTATTTGCTTAACCACTTTAGTCCTTTTGGCCTAAGGTTTGGAAATATAATTACTTGAAATATTTTTCAAAAGAATGAAGGCATGAAGACTTCAGGCACATATGGTACTGTTTTCTGAGAATTACATGTATCACTGTAATGTTAGAAGTATGCCATAAACACATTTTTACTGTTTAAAGTGATCCTATGCAGCTGAAATGAATTACTGATTTTTTTCTTTTATGTGTTTAATATGTAAAACGCAGTATTGAGTGCAAGTGTCTAGGCATGATTAGTTCAAAAGGAAGCACAACTGTATTTCATGTAATTCATCATGAGAAAGCTCAATAATTAGAATTTTTTATATATAATCAAGTATATATACTAAAGTGTGTGTATATATATTGACTTTAGTATATATTGCTATAAAGACTATAGGTTGATTGTGAGTTTTAATACGAGCCCTTTGATTTGTTGACGCAAACAGAAGCTGATGTATTTGCAGTATAGACAGGGGTAAGATGCCCGGTGTGTTGTCTTGAAAAGAAGGTCTTTGTTATGAATATGGGACCATTAAGCATTTGTTGTTGGGAATGTGAAGCCTGCTGTGCATGCACAAACTCTGCATGAAAATGACCAGTGAATGATGCCGAGCGTTAAAACACTGAAAAGCACGGTCTGTTCACACACAATCCACACACACTGTGCGATGTGTGACAGAGACACACTGAAGTAGAGAGTGGAAACACATTGTACCTCATTAACATGAACTGTGTCTTGAATGCTGTCTGGTGTTTTTCTCAGAACACGGAAGGCAGTGCAAGAATTTCCATCACATTCTTTCGTCTGTTTCGTGTCATGCGCTTAGTGAAGTTATTGAGCAGAGGAGAGGGCATTCGCACGCTCCTGTGGACCTTCATCAAATCATTTCAGGTACGCTCATTTCATAAAGCAACTTAATACATGACTGTCTGGAATCCTTTATTGTGGTTGGTAAGTTTGGGCATTAAGTGCACAAATAATTTGACACAACTGGCAAATTAACCAACAAAGCAGTGACACTTTTACATCTCCCATCACTCAACACTCAAGTTCATTTGTGCCATCTTATGTCTCAAAATAATTAACTTTTGACTGTGGTTAAAATGCTGAGCACAAAACCCAAAGCCTAGGTGTCTTAATTTAAAGCAAGAAGTTGGAACAATCTTTAAAAGAACCAAAAACTGGTAGGACAAATATGAATATAATGGAAGTACATGTTAAATTGCAGCTACTGTAGATATTGTGTAGCCACATTGTGTAGCGTTTTGACTGACAGCTAAAGGTCTGGGCACTATAGCAGCTTTCATTGGTAAATAACCACCCACTTAGACCGGCAGAGGCTGTGTCACTGGCAAACAAAGCAACCAACCACAGTTTAGTTTGTTCAGCATGGGCGTCGGAAACATTTTACCTTTACATTTGACTTATTTTTTTAAGACCAATGATATTGGACTCACTCACATTTACTGTCTCTAATTCAGCGCATAGTCTGTTCACTTTTCAGTTGAATTAATTAATTAATTAAACATTTTGTGTTTTAGCTACAGCCTTGACCTCCACAACAAAATGGAAACAAGCCGCAACACAACAAAATTAGCAAACACAATGGAAATAAGCCACAACACAACGAAATTAGCACAACACAATGGAAACAAGCCGCAACACAGCGAAAGTAGAACAACACAACGGAAACAAGCCGCAACACAACGAAACTAGCACAATACAACAAAAACAAGCCACAACACAATGAAATTAGCACAAAACAACGGAAACAAGCCACAACACAATGAAATTAGCACAAAACAATGGAAACAAGCCACAACACAATGAAATTAGCACAACACAACAGAAACAAGCTGCAACACAATGAAATTAGCGCAACACAATGAAAACAAGCCGCAACACAACAAAATTAGCACAAAACAACAGAAACAAGCTGCAACACAATGAAATTAGTGCAACACAATGGAAACAAGCCACAACACAATGGAAGCAAGCGACAACACAAAAGAAACAAGCCACAACACAATGAAATTAGGACAATACAATAGAAAAAAAACCACCCCTGTTGAAAAAATCAGCATATGCTGGTTAGGTGTGTTTTGAAGCATGGCAGCTCGTTTGAGCTGGTTTATGCTGGTCCTTAGTTGGCCATGAGCTGGTTTAAGCTGGTCCTGAGCTGGTTATAAGCTGGTTATGTCTGTGACTAGCTGTTAGTTAACTAGTACATATAAAGTAACTTGGAATGCAGCTTAATAAAATACATTCAAATATTTTAATATTGCAATTAGTAGCTTTGTAAATGTAATGTTTGACTTCATGTTAGGGTTTATTTATCGATATTTAAAGGTAGGGCAGGCGATTTCGGAAAGGCAAGCGATAGCAAGCTAACTTTGAAAGCAAGATCCCACCCTCCCTGATTAATCACTTTGCAAAGCCATGCCTCATCCAAAACACATGAACACACTCCGTAAGAGCAGAGACTAACCTGCGGCACGATGAGAGACGCCGTTGGTGGAGGATTGAATGCAGCGCTGTCAGATTACCTCATGTCTCATTCACCGCTGAGAAAACATTACAGTACAACGCGCATAATATTACAGTAATAGCGCCTTTCATTCTCGCTGGAATGCGCTGATGACGTACGATGTCTGCACAAACGGTGCACAGAGGTAAGCAAATACATATTTTGACAGGCAGGCATGACAGCCTATCATTTTGATTGGACGAACATTTTATGGTCCTATGCCTTCCACAGATGATATAAATACATATAAATAAATGTAGACCACTTAACTTAGTGATTGCTATCGGGATGTGAAGAGGTTTTCAACCAGCATAACAAAAAATATTTTTGAACCAAATCACCTACCCTGCCTTTAATAATGAAGATGGGCTGATTTACTGTAATTTCCTCCTCTGTGTCTCTCAGGCTCTTCCGTATGTGGCTCTGCTTATTGCCATGTTGTTCTTCATCTATGCTGTCATTGGAATGCAGGTAAATCATCTGCTAGTGTAATGTAGTAAACCTGTTGTGAATTATTATGCTAATGTGATGGTTTTATTATTTTAGGTGTTTGGGAAGATCGCCATGGTGGATGGAACCAGTATTAATCGTAACAATAATTTCCAGACCTTTCCACAAGCTGTGCTCCTGTTGTTCAGGTGTGTTCATGAGAATATTGTGTTTGTGAGCATTGATGTTTCACTTCAGTTTAGTGAAGTGAGTCTTACTGGAATGGCAAAAGCTGTACATTAATTTTATCAAAGCAGTGTAAATTAAGTGAAATAACATCCAATAATACTAGTGTAAATAGAGTGAATTAGTATTAATTAGTAAAAAAACATGAAGGTGAATCAATGTTTTCAGTAAGCAGAGCTAGCAACACATTTATGCATTCAAAATATAACATTTAATCAGAAACCAAGTAGTACATTCTTTGCTCAATTACTAAGTTTTTTCAGGCTGTGCATCTCCTCCTTTTGAATACCAAATAAGCAAAATGTTAAATTTTTACATGTCTGTTTGTGATGAACCGTACCATATAGGGCAAATTCATAATAAAAGTTAAAATCAAAATGAATTTGCCAATAATTGTAATAATACACAAAAATACAGGACAGTCTTTCATTGGTTTTTCTCTTACTGTATGTCAGATGTGCGACGGGTGAGGCATGGCAGCAGATCATGTTGGCGTGTTTGCCTGGCAAACAGTGTGACTCTGAGTCCGACTATAACCCTGGAGAGGAGAAAAGCTGTGGCAGCAACTTCGCTATCCTCTACTTCATCAGCTTCTACATGCTCTGTGCTTTTCTGGTACCTCAAAACATTTCAGCTTTTAAGAAGTGTTGCATTTGTGTGTTTAGTAGTTCTAAGCATATTCAGTCTCTAATAATCATGCATCTACTCCTACTACTTCTTGTTCTTTTTCTCTTCAACATTGCTCTGTTTTCCAACTCGGTAATAATTGTTTTTGTTTTGTTATCTGACATAAATTATATTGCTCAGTTTTATTATTGTTCCTTTTCTCCAGATCATTAATCTGTTTGTCGCTGTCATCATGGACAACTTTGACTACCTGACGCGTGATTGGTCAATTCTTGGACCACATCATTTAGATGAATTTAAGAGGATCTGGTCGGAATATGATCCTGAGGCCAAGTATATATCCAAAAGATGTTGTACTTCTAGATCACTCTGTGTGTGTTTTGTTTGACAATGAATATTGTGTGTGTATCAGGGGCCGTATAAAACACTTAGATGTGGTGACATTGCTGCGCAGGATTCAACCGCCGCTGGGCTTTGGCAAGCTGTGTCCACATAGAGTGGCTTGCAAGGTATAAAGCACATGCACATAGACATATGCATAAAACTGTGCAGAGACATACATGTTCCTTTTTAAAATACTAAGCAAGATTTCTTTTTCAACGTAAAGCAGTCTCTCTAGTATTTTGCGATTGCAAAATGTAATGCTAAATTAAGCAAATTATGGTTTTTCCCACCTGCTGCTTGCATTTTTTGTCTCATTTACACAATTTTTTGACAAGAAAAACATTCCCTTTCATTTGGTCACTTCAACGTTGTGTCTAAGTTCTGACAATAGGGGTTGCACTTGAGATCCCAGACATCTCTGACATTACTGAGAAAAGGTCAAGGAAATTGGCGAGCAGTGGTAGTAGCACAGGCAGTGGTCTCTCTCTTGGTCATACACAGATAAGTGTGGTGAGTGTGCGCCTGGGTGCTTCGACGGCGATCTTTGAGAGATGCTCACTGCCTCGACACAGGCCAGGTTTTATCCTTGGACACCCGAAACAGCAACCTCCATCTGCTCGTCATCGGGGACAACCCCCCGGCCCTGCACCGGCCCCTCAGAAGGTGGCTTCATCAACAGACCTGAGGAGCAAGGTCGATGTTGCTCACCCATCACTATGCGTCATGATGGACACAAAGTCTTCCAGCATGGCATTGTAGTTCCACAGGCAATGTAGTTCCACTGAGGCCATTGGCGTGGTGTCTGGACACTTGGATAGCTCTACCTATCCTGTCCCGCTGGTTGCTCAGACCCATTTGACTCGCAATTCAGTTCGCCAGGCGCCTACCAAAGTTCAGTGGCGTTATTTCACCTCTGTATGAGGAGAGAATGCTGCTGTCCTTTGAGAGGAGATTGCTGTCCTTCTAGCAAAGAACGCTATAGAGCCTGTTCCCCCTGCTGAGATGAAGAAAGGGTTTTGCAGCCCTTCAGTTTGCCTTCAAAAGGCAGGCTTATCAGTACAATGTCCTCCCCTTTTGCCTGTCCCTGTCTACTCGCGTCACCAAAGTTGCCCAGGCTGCCCTTGCCCCTTGAGGGAAGTGAGCATTCGCATTCTCAACTACCTCGATGACTAGCGAATTCTAGCTCACCCTCGAGAGTTGGTGTGCGCACACAGGGACCTGGTGCTCGAGCACCTAGCCCGACTGGGACTCTGGTTCAACTGGGAAAAGAACAAGCTCTCCCCTGTGCAGAGCATCTTTTTCTTGGTGTAGAACTGGACTCGGTTGTCATGACAGAACACCTCTCGTAGGGTTGTGCTTGTTCAGTGCTGAATTGCTTGAAGATGTTCAAGTACAAAACAACGGTCCCTCTCAAATACTTTCATAGGTGCCTAGGGCATATGGCATCCTCAGCCACTGGGGTTGATGCATATGAGACTGCTTCAGCAGTGGCTTCATGAGTCCCGAGATGGGCATGACGCTGTGGTACGTGTGGCACGTGTGGTCATCACATCAGATTGTCGCCATGCATTCAGTCCTTGGAAGGACCATGCATTGCTACCGGCAGTAGTGCCCTTACAACAAGTGTCCAGATCGTTGCTTCCAACTCATACTGTTGTGCTGTGTGCAACGGGCATACAGCTTTGGGTACCTGAACAGGTTCTCGTCTGCACTGGCCTATCAATTGCCTGGGGTTGTTGGCTGTGCTTCCGGCCTTGAGGAAGCCGGAACAGTCATGAGGTTTTGACTGTTGATTTAAGGTAAGCATGTGTTAGTCCAGATGGACAGCACAGCGACAGTAGCTTATATCAACCACCAGGTCGGTGTTCGCTCCCATTGCGTCACAGCTCGCCCGACATCTCCTTCTTTGGAGCCAGCAGATACTTAGGTCTCTGCAGACCACTTACATTCTGGGCTACCTCAATCATGCAGCGGACTCGCTCTTGCGACAGGTTACACTCTGGGGCGAGTGGAGACTCCTTTTCCAGATGGTTCAGCTGATTTGGAGTCGATTCGGCCAGGCACAGATAGATCTGTGTGCCTCGCAAAAATCCTCCCATTGCCCACTCTGGTATTGCCTGACCGAGGCCCGTCTCAGCATGGACACACTGGTGTACAGCTGACCTAGGGATCTATGCAAGTATGTGTTCCCCCAGTGAGCCTCATTGCACAGACTCTGTGCAAAGTCAGGGAAGATATGGAACAGGTCCTGATGGTGGCACCATATTGGCCTAACAAGACCTGGTTCTCGGGGCTCATGCTTATGATGTCAGCTCCCCCCTGGCGGATTCCCCTGAGGAGGGATTTTCTTTCTCAGGGGCAGGGCACGATCTGGCACCCACGCCCAGACCTCTGGAACCTTCATGTCAGGTCCCTGGAAAGGAAGAAGAGGAAGTCAGAGGGCTTTTACCCACAGTGGTATATACCATTACTCAGGCTAGGGCCTCCTTTAAGAGGCAGCTACACGAAGTGGCACATTTTCATTAACTGGTGTTCTTCCCGAGGGAAGACCTACAGAGATGTGGTATTGGGTCTGTGCTATCCTTTCTCCAAGAGGGCCTGGACAGGCACCTATCTGCATCTACACTCAAGTTGTAAATGGCTGCTATAACAGTGAACCGCGACACTGCATCTTATCCCCTCTTGGGATCTCTCAGTGGTCCTTCTGGCCTTACAGAGAGATCTGTTTGAGCCTCTCCAATCAATTTAGCTTAGTGCCAGGTACTGTTTGATTGTTCTCCCCTTATGTGGAGTACACCATAGAAACCTTCCACATGTAGTGCTTCCTTTAGCAAGTCTATAGGATGCATCTCTACATGTCACCTTCCTTCGGGTAGGATGTGGTCTCCGTAGTGTTCTTTTCTCATTGGAGAAAGTGAACACTTCCCAACATTACAACCAGGTTCACCAGCTGCTGAATTTTATTAAAGGGATACTCCACCCCAAAATGAAAATTTTGTCATTAATCACTTACCCCCATGTCGTTCCAAACCCCTAAAAGC